AAGAGTTTTACCAGTACCTGGTGGACCATAAAGCAAAACACCCTAAATGAAGATTAGATTACTTGAAAAAATATGAAATTAAAACAAAACAGAATTATACTTTTGGTTGACTAATACCTAAAGCATCAAATAATTCAGGATATTTAACTGGTAATTCAATAACTTCTTTGATTTCTTTTATTTGTTTATCAAGACCACCAATCATTTCATAGGTAGAATCAAGAACTTTTTCTACTATCATGAAACTAATTAATGGATCAATCTTAATTAATACGAATATGAGAAATATCATGCAAAGTTAGCATTCGTATCTATTACTTTATTTGGTAAAATTTTATGTAATGTATAACTATCATTGTTTAATGCAACACAACAACTTGGTGTTAAATTAGTTATATCAATATTTTTGTCAAGATCAACAACAAATTTACCTTCTGGTTGAATCTAAATGAAATAAGATTAGTCATATTAAATCAGAAATTTTTAAAAATGATTCTTTGTTATTTAGGGTACATGAGTATACCATATAGTTTTTCCTTTCCGGTGTGGTGACCGGAAGTTTTCGAAGACCACAATCATCGACCTGGATGATGGAACTCAGTCTCCCTGATCCTACCTTACGAGAGAACATTCCCAAGTGATTTGCTCAGTTTTGATTCATTCGTAAGTCATTCGATAGAGTATATTGAGGTAAGAAATAGCCTAAAAGGATTCGTGCCCATGGTCTAGTAATGAGGACTTATGGCCGTTTTACTAAAATTTTTTCCGTAATGCCTGGCTCACAGAAAAAATTTTAGTAAAACGACCATAACTCCTCACTACTAGATTATGGGCACGAATCCTTTTATGCTATTTCTTATCTCAATATACTCTGTCGAATGACTTACGAATGAATCAAAACTGAGCGAATCACTTAGGAATGTTCCCTCGTTAGTTACGCCACCACTAGCCTAATTGTCTTAAATACAGCTAGAGTCAAGTCATGAAATGAAATTCTCTTAATTTTACTGTGCATAAGGAAAGAAAAACTATATTACTTTAACAAGAACTTTTGTCTTATCCATAACTTTAATAACTTCGCCAATTAATGAAGCTTGCTCTTGTAATAATTGTAATTCTTCACGTAACATTCGAACTAAATTAATCAATAATAATCAAA